TAGCGTGTTACAAACAAATTCTAGTCTATTAAAACAGGTACAAAATGACTACCCGTATTAACTTTTATATCAAATATTACTTCCCTAATTTTTTTTAAGTTGGGAACCCCAAAAAGTGTTCACTTGAAAATCAGTGAAAGAGACAAGACAATTTCTACCCTTAACTTTATGTAAGTTATCTTGTGAAAAATATAATCTTTGGCTGATCGTGTCTATAATACAATTTAACCCTAAAACTTATCTTTCCTTTAATTACTTTTAGGCTTACTAACGGTTAAAAAACAATTTTTCCTTTGGCGTTTTACTTATAACGCCTGTTAGTCCTCAGACATCTTCGCTGGTTTCTTCTTGAACTACAGAATTTACACTTATATAGTAATTCATCTCCTTTAACTTTACAATGCTTTTGTGTCTAAAACTCAAGCAAAGTGAGAATAGGTTGTTTTTACATCTAGCTAATCGAAAATTCCTGGGATGCGCTCGAATGATCAACACCTGAACAGAAACAAAATTTTTTTCGACTCCCTAAAATATCTTATCGACCTTTGAGAACGATACCAAACGCTTTAGTAAACTTTGCGCTAGACATATAGACTATTATTTGTCGTTTTTTTTTTTTGTTTTTTTTTTGTTTGTTTGTTTATGGTTTGTTTTTTTTTAATTATCAGTCTTGAAGTTGGTGTTGAAACTTAAGGTGTGCTGGGTCATGAAAACATTTTTCATATGCAAGAACTAAAATCAAGAACTGAAAATGAAAACTGTCCCGGTTTTGCGAATTATAGTAAGTGGGAAAAATAAATATTTAATAAAGACCGTAATTATTTCTTTATTCTAAGGCACGGACCTTCTAAAAATAAAAATAAAATGAAAAGCGCATTTTAGATAATTTAAATTTTGTTGGAACTTAAATTTCGGTACTATTCGAAAGTTAATATCCTTAAAAGCTAATCCGAATTAAAGGAAAAATTAATTTCCGTTTATAATTTTTTAAGCATTTCTAAAATCTTGGCATGTTTTTCGTCACTCATGGAACCGGCATTATATACGAAAACTGTAAACAACAAATTTAAAAATCTATTTAAAATCCATTATTTATCCTGGAGATATGTTTCGAAGTCTGTTAGTAAATTTAAGGATTAATTAACTGGATTTTTGTGAAAGTAATACTTTTACTTAAAACAGAATGAAAATAACGTTTTATTTACGCACCATAGCCTGTGAGGTCAAAGGATACAATAAAAATTCTGCAATTCTACCGCTGTCCGCAAAAGCGCGCGAAAAATAAAAATAAAACCTAAAGAAATACCGAAGGCCAGCAGCGCAATAATCAAGAATGTTTTTTTATTTATGTTTAAAAATAAATTATCTTTAACCTTGCATAACCAATAGTTTAAGAATATTTTTTTTCTGTAGGCTTTTATTAAACTTAGTAGAATTAATAAATTTGAAGGTAATAAAGTGCTACCTAAAATTATATAGCGTAAATGTAGTTTGTGTTAGATTAATGTGAAAAGAGTAAATTTTAAAAAAATATAGTATAAAGCATTCTTTTGAGCGAATGAATTAGTTTCGTCGTAATTTTGATTTTTTCTTTTTTTTTTTTTGGTCGCGAGGTGAACAAATTATGCAGGAAAAATAAGACAAAGATTTGTTTTTTATTTTTAAAATAATAAAATCTTAAAAGAATAATTTACGTTTAATTACTATTACTAAGTAATGGTTCTGCTTGTATACAAAAGTCTGTAAATAAATGCAGGAAAACATAGATACGCACAAAACAAAAACACTAACAAAAAAAAAAGCAAAAAAAAAACACTCTTATCGATGGATCGAAAAACAATGTTTTCAAAACACAAAAACTGATTGAATCAAAGACATAAAATTTGATTAATTCACATTACTCTTCTGATATTGAATAGTAGTTAGTCAAAGCAAGATATCAGAATTATGTCCTTTTTGTATATCTTTGCCCAAAACAATCTAACATTTGCTAAAAGGAAAAAAAATAAGATAGTATTCTTTTAAGGCATATTCACACTCGATAACAGCATTAAACTTTACATTTTTTATTCTTCAAACATGTCTTTATTTAATAAAAGGAACTATTGTGACAAACAGCAACAGGATGATTTTCAAAATTGCACTGAAAAATTACAAGTATTTTTTTAAAAATAAATATTAATCTTTTTCTATTCAATCTGAAAGAAAATAACGCCTTTTATTAAATTTATGCAAGCACCAATTCAGAAGAAAAAACTATTTTTTTTAAGTATTATTGAATTTATTTTATTAAGATAGGTGACGAATATTCCGTATGCTCACGGTCGATATTGCATAATTTTTTTACTGAAATATGTTCAGGGAATTTTCTTTAGAGAACTGTAAAATAATTGTACGACCCCCCCCCACCTCCAAATTAAAATTCCTCGGTTATGTCTTCTTAAGCGGTTTTGACTGTTTTTTTTTTTTTTTTTTTTTAGCATCACCTAATGAAATTATCCCAGGCAGGTATATATATTACTGTACTAGCAGCATGGCCCGGCGTTGCCCGTGCTTGATTCAAAAATAGTACGACTAATACAGCAATCGCTATCACTTGACTTAAAATATTTTTGCCCTTCCTTGCCTTTAGAGGAGTGCCCTTTGCCGTGCTGATGTTGTCACATGCCTTACTTCTTGCCTATATCACACTGCCAACTTTTTCTAAGCTCTATAGTAAACATTAAATCTGTTACGAAAAAAGAACTAAACAAAATAAACACAATACGATCAGCTTTAAAAAACCGGAAAAAACGGGTTGACCGATTGTCGATTTTCACTCTGTTTGGGGGGGGGTGCTCAGAGTTGAAACTTCACATGATGACTCCCAATGGCCTCTTCATAAATCCGATCGGTTTTCGCTAAAAACCGACATGCGGTTCAGACGCAATCTGGGCGTATCGGTTTTTGGGTTTTATCGATTTTCTGCGCTGTTTAGGCGTCCGTGGCCATGAAACTTCTGGACAACACTTTTAATGGTAGACTCCAAGAGGGTGTCAAATTTGGTTGAAATGCGATCATTCCTTCTGTAAGCAGAATTTTTTAGATTATCGATTTTTTCGGAACCTGATTCCGAACTCGAAAATCGGGCTCCCTCATGTCCTTACGGCAGGCATTTGCAAACTTGTGTTGAAAACCGCATCGAAATCGGATGAGAAATGCGGCCTGGGCGAGGTAACAACGCCCACGACAGACACACAGACAGACAACATGAGAAATATAGATAGATAGATAGGTTTTATTTCTTCTGCTTTCTTGAGAGGTTATTTGGAATTGTTCGCCTTCTTCAGTGTGGTAAGTCAATATTTGTTGTCTTCTTTCTCTCCCCACTTTTATTTCCCTAATTTTATATCCCAATATATATTTAAAAAACAAAAGATTAATCTAAAACGTATTCAATACCCATCCATAAAAGCATCATTCTGAGTTCGATCCTCACTGGGTGCCTCATATTTTCGCCCTTTTGTGATATCTAAGCTACGTTTAGAAAATCACCTGATAAAAAGCGTCATGTAATAAGGCTAGAGAATGTAGTCTTCTTGGTGGTTGGTTTTAAAACAGTTGTAGGCTATTCCAGAACCTTCTAAGAATTCTTGGGATGATGGTCAGTTGCATAAGTCGAACGCTAAATATCGTCGCAGTAGCTGAAAATCAACTATTCTTCTATGCACCTAGTGACATCGGGTTTGTCTTTATCATAAAGATTACAAGTCCAAAGATAAAGAATTACATCTTTATTATCTGTGGTTTGCAAGTGGAAGGAACGTGATTTAACATTGTATTGTCCTCAATTTGGTGCCATTCGAAAGATTTCCATCCGTGCTGCAAGCAAGAATGGTAAAGAAACAGGCAAGGATTACTCGCATAGTTTATAGATTTCCGAGTATCAAGGACAACAATTATACCACATTATGCCAGCAACACATTCCGGTGGTTTAGCCTGCAATGTTATTACATTGCAGGCTAAACCACTACCAATAAAACACAAAAGATTACCATTCCCGAAGAAATTACAAGTGTAAGCATGTCTGAAGTTTAATAAGGAACATTTCCCGTTAACTAGATGTCGACCGGAATAATATTTTTTGGTCTGGTCAATACAGAATTATTAGGCATCATCAGTTTTGGAGGAAGAAGAAAAAAAGATTCAATCGAAACATCATCTCAACTGTGAAGCATGGCAGCAGAAACGTAATAGTTACAAGACGATATTCAGTCACCCCCCCACGAGGGTGTCATGTGGCACAAGGCCTTTTTAACGTGGGCATTCCGAGCCTGTGGGCTCGGCCAAAAATATGCCCGTTTGAACCCGCATAAACGGGTTCAGGGCCGGTTTTACCTCCCCGAAGGAGACTCCGCCCTTCGGCGTAGCCTCCTTCGGGTTCCTCTCCGTCCGTAGACAGAGAGTTGAACCGAAGTCAGTCGAGAAAGCGATAGCGATAGGTACAAGACAACATCTCAAAATCAAACAAAGAATGAATGGATATATGAAGCAAAATAAATTGAACAAGTATCGCCTTAGATCAGTTGAGATTTTAAAAATGAAGCTCAATTGGATGTTTCGGCAGGGTAGAGATCCTAAACATACCATCAATGCAGCCAAATAGTTGTTTGGAAGTAAGAAAATCAAATTACTGAAGTGGCAGAGTCAATCTCCTGACCCGAAAACAAATGAAGATTTGTGTCCATGTTTGTCAACGTCGATTACGACGTTGAATAAACTGTAGAAAATTTGCCATGAAGAGTGGTCAAAAATACCAGCAGAAAAATGGTCGAAACTACTTATAGGAATCGACTAGAGCAGTGGTTCTTAACCAGGGGTACGATATCGGTTCCTAGGTGGTTCGAGGATACAGACTTATTAGGGTTGGTTTTTATTAAGTAAACTTTAGTGTAGTGCTGTTGATAACAGCGACATCAAGGAAGATCTCATCGATCTGAGAAACAATCCTGGAATCCAAATGAAGTTCACCGATGGTCACCTAAAGCAATTCTGGGCTTCTCAGTGGGAAACGTATCCTATACTGGCAAAAAAAAGCTCTCGCTGTGCTGATGTCTTTCGCGGCTATATACTTGATGTTCCTGTCTGATTCACATCAAAACCAAGAGCAGAAATCGACTGGATACTCAACACGACATGAGAGTAGCAATTAGCACTAAGGCACCAAGATCTGATATCATCTTAAACAGAAAACGACAGCAACAAAGTCACAGAGTTTGTTGCTCAACCATAATCATTCCCAACACACTATGCATAGTACAAGCACATGTTACCCTAATTTTATTTTTTGTTCATATGAAAGTAATCTAGGTTCTTGCAATGCATCATTTTGTTGTCAGTTTATGTGAATAAAGATTAAAGAAACACAATGGTTTTGTTATTTACACATGAGATCAGTATTTCTTTTCATCAATTCTGGAAGTGGGTGCGAGAACTGGTTGGTAATTTGAAAGGTGTGCGAGAACTGGGTAGTGGTTTGAAAGTGGTGCGAATGAGGAAACAGGTTAAGAATCACAGGACTAGAGGCTGTCGTTGGGAACAAAATTTTTTTCCATAAAATTATTAAGGACATTGAATATTTCTAGACTCATTTCTTTTTAAAATATACAGCCTTTGGGAATTTATAATCTTATGTAAATGTAGTTATTGAAAATTTGAATAATATTTACTTTTGTAAAACTTATGTAGTGGAATTTTGTATTGAATAGTTACTTTCCCCTATCTATCTATCTATCTATCTATCTATCTATCTATCTATCTATCTATCTCAGTGTATTGCCTTCGTATCTAGCTATCTACTTTATATAACAATTTACCCATCTACTTTAGATAACAATCTATAAACTTTGTGTAATAATCTATATAACTATGTAATTTATATGACAATCTATTTTAAATAAGTCTATTTATCTATCTACTATACATTACAGTCTATGTCTCTACTTTATATAGTCTATTTCATATAACAATCCATCTATCTACATCATATAATAGTCTATCAATTTTATATAAAAAATCTATCTGCCTATCTACTATTTATAATAATCTATCAATCCACCTACCTACTTTATATAATCTATCTTCTAATTGTAACAATCTACTTTATATAAATTCTATGTATCTACTTTATATAACAATCTATCTATTTTATATAACTATTTACTTTATATAACAATCTATTTATCTAGTTTAGATAAATATCTATCTACTTTATACAACAATCTATTTATCTATCTACTCTATATAAATATGTGCACATATTAAAATAATAAGTAAGAACAGTAAAATTTACAATCTGGTGTTCTTAGTACTTATTTACCCCCCAAAAAAAAAAAAAGTGCTGTATATAAAAACAGTAGAGCATAATATTATAACTATTTTCTATTTTAAAAATATGGTTCCATCGCTACACAGGAATTACCATGTTTCAAAACAGAAATTAAAACTTCATATTTAATTATAAAATTAAATTTAAAATTTAATTTGTTCCATTGATTTTAAATTTAATCTATTAATTAAATTTGAAATTTTAGTTTCTGCTTTTAAACATGGTAATTCCTGTGTTTTATTATTAAATTTGAAATTTTAGTTTCTGTTTTGAAACATGGTAATTGCTGTGTAGCGATGGAACCCTATTTTTAAAATAGAAAATAATAATAATAATACTTTATATAAATATCTACTTTAGATAATAATCTATAAACTTTATATAATAATGTATCTATCTACTTTATATAACAATCTATGTATCTACTTCATATAACAATATATTTATGTTCCTTATCTATCTATATATGTTCCTTATATATCTACCTATCTAAATATGTTCCTTATCTTTCTAAATATAGTTCTTATCTATCTAAATCTGTTCCTTATCTATTTCTAAATGTTCCTTATCTATCTATATATCTAAACATGTTCCTAATCTATCTATATATCTAAACATTTTCCATATCTATCTATCTATCTATCTATCTATCTATCTATCTATCTTCTTTATATAATCAGTCAGGCAATTTATCTATTTATGTTCCTCATATAATCTATCTATCTATCTATCTTCTTTATATAATCAGTCAGGCAATTTATCTATTTATGTTCCTCATATAATCTATCTATCTATCTATCTTCTTTATATAATCAGTCAGGCAATTTATCTATTTATGTTCCTCATATAATCTATCTATCTATCTATCTATCTATCTATCTATCTATCTATCTATCTTCTTTATATAATCAGTCAGGCAATTTATCTATTTATGTTCCTCATATGATCTATCTATCTATCTATCTATCTATCTATCTATCTATCTATCTAATGTTGACCGTCGATTCATGTACATCTATCTATGTTCATCATATAATCAGTCTATCTATCTATGTTCCTTATGTAATTTATCTATCTAAAGAGCTTCTGCCATGGAGTAATGATCAGCAAACCAACTTCGTAAAGTTTTGTTTCTCTGGTAAATTCATTCCTTACTAAGTTATCCATTAATGTATTAATATGCTTGTGCCTTGTAAATCCGATTTTTGTTTGTTTTTTGTTTTTTTAATACTTAGTTTAGTCTTGTGTTGCACAAGGACACAAGTGGGAGGCACCAAATAATGTCAGGATCGAACTCACTACAATAATAATGACATGCGTGTTTAACATTTTAACCATTAACCGACGCACCTGATTATATATTTATTTTACACTTATACTTTTGAATCAATGGTAAGAATGGTGACCTATCGAATAGTAAATCTGAGGTTCTTTTCTCAATGCCAAGTTGGTGACGTTTTACTATAAATTCGTATTGCAAAATTAAAAGCTCACATTTTGATCCATGATTTTAGTTTAAAAAAAAAGTTAAAGAAAAGTTTATCCTCATGTGGCCGCTGTGGTCAGTCTTGTACTTGTAACATCTGAAATACGCCAAGAGACAAAATAAACAAATGCATTTGTGACTGATTCATGAAACATTGTTTTACTAACTGTTTCTTCTATGTGTCGTGTCTCTTCAGGATGTAGGCGATCATGTCTCTCCGCAATTTCCTGTCCTTTGTAGCTCTTAATAAATTTTGTCTTCCTGTTAGTTCGCCTTACTCCGCCTTTCTTTTACTCAAGATCGTTATGTAGGTTATGCGATGTTTTCCTCTGTCTCTCTTGCCTTATGAAGTTTAAAATTAATAAGAACAGCGAACATATAACCAAATATGTCCGTGGTAACCCCTGAAGGCAGCCGAATTGACAACTGAAGAAAAAAATGTTTTAAACTAGAAAACCACTACACTGGTAAACTTAATTTTAAACCCCGATATCGCCTGTTATAAACATCTGTTTACGGACAAATTAACTAATTTAACGCACATTTTTACATTGTGGGTTTCGTTTTGGGAGTGTCCAAATGAATGTTTCCCATACCGTATCCACCGCGATCAATATATATGTAATTAACACCCACCTTATGTAAAACATATCTAATTTATAACACTAACAGCGAGGTATATTGCTCATTAGGTGAAGATGATGGTTTATTAAGCTAAAACTGGTAATATGTTATTGTTAATTGAAATTCAATTCATAAACCCAAGTACAAACGTTGTGACCTTAAAACTAAAAGACAGGCATTTTGAAATTTATGTTTAGTGATCTTTGCATTTCATTCCATATGTGCCATTTTTTCCTTTCATTCCATATGTGCCATTTTTACTTAAATTCACTTTATGATCAAGAACGCATAACCTTCCGAGCGAGCTTAGTAAATGGATGGCGGAACAAGATTGAGGCGAGATAAAAAAAAAAAAAAGACAGAATATTGTAGAGACCCACGATGGCCAACGTCCTGAACGTCCACGGCACATAGAAGAAAAAGAATACACCAAACATTTACTTTAAGGGTTACACTATGAGTTAGATATTTTAGGGGATTTATTTATAGTGGCTACTGTTGTTAATGTAGTGAAATTTTATCCGAAAAAAATTTAATTTACTCAAAAAAGGTTTCGTTTTAAATTATTTTAAGATATTTTCCATCTTCTTATTTTATTGTTTTTTGTTTGCAATCAAAACAAAATAAATGGCCGTAATTATCATTCTAATTATATCATTCTTTATATTTTCTTGATGTTGTCCAGTTTTTGGAATATTGCTTAACAAATTGACTGCCAACCACGATATAAACTGGTAGTTGGTATTTTCTGATAATCTGCGAGCGACAACAACAACGAATTTACTTTATTCACAAGTGATACTTTTAGTGTGAAAACAATGTCAAGACTTCAGTTGAAGCTATGAATCGACTCATAAATTTGTTTTTATTGCCTAAGTTGGCTATTATAAAATTGGCGTTTAAAGACAACGTGTTAAAACAGCGACAAATTCTACGACCGCCCCGGGCGGTACAAATGCTCGGTACATCGCTATGTCAGTGTTAATTTTATTTATTATGCAATATATTTTCTTTATTAAGATAAAAAAAATAAATAAAAATAAAATCAACCAATCAGTTAAATCTTAATCTGCAGCGCACACACCTTACCCCTAACCCTAAGTAGTGCGTCTGGCAATTTTGCGAGGAGGTGCCAAACAGACATTTTCCCCGTTTTGTTGCTGATGTATACACGACGTTTTTTTATTTTTTATTTTTATTTTTTTATAAACAACTTGGGATTTGGACCAGGACTTTGTTTTGCTTAATCTTTACACAAGGATTAGCGCTCAAGTTGCTTAAAAATGGATGCTTGCATTTTTTTTATGTTTGACTTTAAAGTAGAAAATAAAGACATTTATCGTAGTAACTAACCTAAATTAGTATAATTTGGTAGTACCTGAACTGCTAGAATTGGTAGAATTCCTGAATACTCTATAAATTAATTAACTTTTTAAATTCACACTTTTAAAAATTTTAGCTTGTATTTATTTTCTGGAATTAAAACTGTAGACTTTTTCCACACATAAAACTCATATAAAGGTTTGAAAATTTTAAATTTCGAATATATATATATATATTTCTCTTACAATTGGAATTAAGATATTTTTAGCTAGTGACCATTTTCACCTACGAATTTTAATTTTAAAATTCGCAGGTATTTTCAAACTGTTTATGGTATCAGTTTGTATCTTAATTCCAATTGTAAGAGAAAATTTGCTCTGTTTAATGAAAATAAACATTGATCTCTCTTTGTGAGTCAGTTTTAACATTTAATATTTCAAATTTATATTGTGTTAATAGGACACGATTGGATTATACCAACGGATTACTTACTACCTGTATATATATATATATATATATATATATATATATATATATATATATATCGAAAAATGAAGTTTTCTTATTTATTTTGAAAATTAATGACTGTAATGATTTTAGACCAGTAATTCCCAACATGGAGCAATTGTATTTTTAAGGGTTTTTTTTTTTGGGGGGGGGTCAAGAATGAGTTATTAACAGTGATTTTTTTCTAGTGAGTCTGTGTGCGTATGAGTGTGTGTGAGAGTTAATATATACGTTGCATATACAGTATGCACACATAAAAATATTTGTATGTATGTATGTACATGCGTAATTACGTATGTACTGTATATAACATATATTTATATTAGTAGCACAATATTTTTTATAAATATTGTAAAATTCTAAAATTAAATGATAATACTATTGCATATATGCAGTCTCAAGTTCTTAAGGAAAGTTAATGACCTCTTAGGATTCCTCTACCTGAATAAGAGTTCACCTTTCGAATAATAAGAATGACATGTGGGGGGGTATCAGGGTTTTAGAGATGCTTAGGTGGGGCATGGCCAAAACAAAACAAAACAAAAAAATGGTGAGGAACCACAGTTTTAGACACTTACTTGACTGAGCTCAGCTGAAATAGCATTGTTATGGATTGTGGCAAAGATAAATTTAGTTTTTTTATTTAGTTCCCAGTTTCGGCAAAATATTTAGTGAGCTGAAGTCCCCAAAACCTCACCCCTATAATACTGTGGATGATTTAGTAACTTTTTTTCTTTAATTTTAAGGTTTTCTTTCTTTTACCTGTTGTTTTTTCAGTTACTTAAACCACACCGATTTCACAAGTAGAGTTGCTTAAGGTATTTTTTTTAGTCAAATTTGACCACAGTTCCTTATAAACAGTTGCTTAGCAATAAGAACATTACTTTTTAGTCGGATGTAGTCCTTTTATAGGACGAAACACGTTACATAGATTTTTTTTCTCTTTGTCACTCAATTACCCAACAATGTTCTGATATAAATATTTATGTATCATATTCTCCTGAGTTGTTTATAAAAAGAAAAAAAATTAAATTGTGTAAAACTTCCCCCACAACATGATTCGAATCAGCAAATGATTTTTCTTCTTTTATGTGTCGTGTCCCTTCAGGACGTAGGCGATCATGGCTCTCCACATATTCCTTGTAGCTCTTAATAAGTTTTGTCTTTTTGTTATTTCTTCTAAACCCTTTTCTACCATCCATTTACTCAAGCTCATCAATTATATTAAGCGCTGCTTTCCTCTGTCCTTCTTGCCTTCAATCTGTCCTGTGAGTATCAGATTTTCCAAGCCATCTTTCTTCATTATGTGCCCTAAAATTTCAACTGTCTTTTCCTGTTGTTAAATATAAGTTTCCTTTTTGTTTCCATTTTATCTAAAACTTCGTCGTTGCTCATAAGTTCGGTCCATGGTATCCTCAGTATATTTCTGTAGAACCACATTTCTGTTGCTTCTCATCTTTGAGATTGCCCAACATTTGCTGCCACGCAAGAGGACAGATATCATATAACAGTTCATTACTATTTTCTTTGTTTCTAACGAAATGTAGGTATCTTTGACCATCCCAATACGTCAGAGGACGGAAAATACGACACGGATTCTTCTATTTGTTTTTTCGTAATTAGCATAAAAAAAATCTGGAAAATCATTAACTTTAATGGTTGTATTTGTAATATCTTGATGCAGACTTTAATTTTGACATCCGATAAATTTTAACATTTTTTAAATTATATTTAACAATTTTGAATTTTTTGTTTTTAATTTAAATTTGTTTTTTTTATTCTTTAGTTTTAAACAATTTTTTTTTAGGTAGCGAGAAAGATTTTGAAATTTCGATGAATTGAAAAAGATTATGAACTTCGGATATATCTTTCTTTGGTAATTTAAATAATTATACAAGGGTATCGTCGTCAATGCTCCAATTAGGATTTCTAATGTTAATTTTCAAAGTTAAGTCTTTCTTTTTGGAACCCCAGTTTTCCCTAACCCTGCTCCTATATATGTAAGTAGATTTGTGTACTTGTAACCTTTGCGTTATCTATCTATCTATCTATCTATCTATCTATATATATATATATATATATATCTATAGTGGACTCTCCCTTCGTATTCGACGTATGAGGGTCAAGCAGCTCAGTCCCTAGGAAACGACTGCCCAAATACCAGTATATATGATTTGATTATAGTGGTGAAGGTTTTGTGCAGAACCAACTACACTTTTTGAGGGGCCAAATATAGAGACCTGGTGCACTACGTGCCACAAGGTCCCCAAACGACCCTCTGCAGGTTTTGAATTCAGAGTTGTCCTTCTTCTAGACCAGTTGGCACTCAAGGCTACAGAACCCAGTCTGTCCTCCTGTTTTTACATATATATATATATATATATATATATATATATATATATATATATATATATATATATATCACTCGTGAGAATTAATAAGCAAACTGTCACGAGTTTCATATCCGAAATTTAAAAAAAAAAATATTAAAAAAAAAATTTACTTCGAAAAAACAAAAATAAACATGTTTTTAAAACTCAGAATAAGCTTAGGCTTTTGTAAATGCGGGCCGTATTACGCTGATACACCGGTTCTCGTACGATAACCGAAGTTAAGCAACGTCGTGCCTTGTCAGTATCTAGACGGGTGACCACTTGTGAATACCAGGTGCTATAAGCTTTGATGTCCTAGTAATGGATAATGGCTCGGAATTGAAAATCGGAGAACCGAGTTCTAATCCCAGTCGAGTTCGTTATTTTCACTTACGCGCAAATACCCTTGGGAAATGTATGAATCCACTTCTTCTCCCCCCAGCTATGGGTTAATTTGTATCAATAAAACATTGTTATTTTCCAAAAAATTCTTACAAATTATTACTGGCTTTAAATAACTTGGAAATTGCTCATAAGCCTTAAAAAAATAAATCAATACGTAACTGCAACAGTTTTGCCCATCAAATAACAAAATTAAAAGACTAGGATTCTACATTTTTCTTTTGCAGATAATATTTTTCGTAATTCATGCATCAGCTGTTCACATGACGCACATTAGTTTAAAACGGATTTCCATCACATATGTCTAAGCTGATTCAATGTTTTTTGGCCTTTGAATTTAGATGATAAAAAGCAGACATGCACTGTAAACTGTAAATTTTAAACTATATTTTATATAAAAAGTAATTTTTTTCAAAATTGAGTAATTATCAAATTAAGTAATTTTTTTCAAATATATTTCTTTATCGGCAATTTTATTTCTAAAAGATATTTAATTCGAGCGTTTAATCTTTTTCTGTTGGTAGGCATCTATCATACCATAATCAAATCTAATTTCGGACGACAAATTTAACACTACGATGAAGTACGCAATTGATTTATTCTATTTTTCTGCAATAAAAACGAAAATTAAAACTTCAAATAAAGTATTTAAATTATTGCAATAAGTTTTTAAAATCTTTTATAAAAATATCCATGATCATTGTAACTATTTATAATGGCTTTTGTTATCTAGTCTAGTCAAGCAAAATCTAAATTATAAAATATAAATCATAATAAAAATTATAGCATTTTATGCGGAAATATTTTGGGGTTATCCATGCGAAATATATTGACTGATTTTGTTTTACGTCTCATCCACCATTTCCAAGTTTTTCTGGCTTTAAATAAGACATAAAATATTTTTAGATTGCAAAAATTTTGGGGGAGATTAATAACGATTTACTAAGACAAGGCCTAGAAATTAACCCATAGCTGGGCGGAGAAGGGGTGGATGCATACCTTTCCCAAGAATATTTAAGCGTAAGTGAATATAATGAACCTGACTGAGATTAGAACTCGGTTCTCCGATTTCCAATACCGAGCCGTTAGCCACTATACTATCCGCCCATCCAAGTTTACAGTACCTGGTATTACCAAGCGGTCACCCATCTAGTTACTGACCAGGCTCGACGTTGCTTAATTTCTGCGAAATATAAAAGGCATATCTAGCTTACATTCTAGTCATAACTTAACATGTTTTTTGTGGTCCAAATTAACGGACATGACTGATAAATATATTATTACAAATATATATTATCTAAATATATTATTATTATTATTAAATATATTATTACAAATATATATTACCTAAATATATTATTATTATTATTAAATATATTATTACAAACATATATTACCTAAATACATCATTATTATTATTATTATTATTATTATTATTATTATTATTAAATATATTATAATTATATAACCTGCTTGCAAAGGCTAAAAAGTAATTTTTATTGGCATTTTCTTGCAATTAAAACTAAAATGAAAACTTCAAGGATTTTAAAGATCCTTAAAGATATTTAAATTATTACAATATTTATAAAATCCATGATTCTTGTATTATTTTTTCATATTTTTATATTAGTTCTGATGAACAACATATAAATTAATTACACAACCAATTACGCAGCACTTATTTGGATTAACTGCGTTACTTAGAATGATGTAAAAAAAAAAGAGTCTTAGTTGGCATAATATAAGTGACAGGTGGTTATGAAAAGGTATTGTTGACTATTTACATTAATTTGTTTAAATAATGCATTGACTATTATTTGTGTTATGTGGCAATAATTGTAAGTAAAATGATACACTAAAATAAGTAGCCAATTAATCGTTTTAGGTTCTCTGAATATTGGCACAAAAATAAAATAAAATAAAGATACTTAATTTGCATATATAATTATTAAAATAATTTGTTTTGTCATTCATTTCCAATCTGTTTCTGCGATATTTATAAAATAAATCGTATCTTATTCACGGCTTTTAAAAAATCGCAACAAATTATGCAGCACTTATTTTGATTAAAAGCGTTACTTAGAACGATTACTTTGCTACTTCTGTAAATGTAAAAACAGTCTTAGTCGGCAATAATACAAGTGACTGATGGTTATGAAGGGGCACTGTTGACTATTTACGGTTAATTTGTTTAAATAATGCATTGATTATTGTTTACAACACGTGGTAATAATTGTAAGTAAAATGATGCACTAAAATAAGTAACCAAGTAATCCTTTTAAGTACTTTGAATATCGGTGCCTATGAATTATACAATTTTACGCAAGGTAGTGCAACGGTTAGCGGCTCTGGAAAAGTCGACTTCGAATTCCGGCAGAGTACGGTACGTTCACTTTCGGAATGTTATCCTTAGGAAAGGCATGAATCCACCGTTCCTCTACTCTGCTTTTCGGCTATTATTTAAATAGTAAAGTAAACTGAACTCTTTCATCTTAGTTGGCATCTAATCTTGAGATGATGACTATAAAAACACCGATCCACTCGTGGGGATGTATCTACGATTACCGAAGTTAAGCAATGTCGAGTCTGTTCCGTACCTAGATGGGTAACCGCTTGGGAATACCAGGTGCTGTATACTTGGATGTGTGGGTGGTGTAATGGATAATGTCTCGGAATTGTTAATTGAAGAGTCGAGTTTCAATTCCATTTGGGTTTGTTATATTCACACGCGAAAATATCCTTGGGAAAGGTATGCATCAACATCTTCTTCCACCGTCTATGGGTTAAGATTTGTATGACTAAAACCATTATTATCCATTATTATCACTAAACAAATGTCTATTTAGATTTCGGCATTAAATAACCCATAGAGATTGATATGCCACTAAAGAAAAACATTTTAAACTTGGATGTGCGGGTGGTGTAATGGATAATGACTCGGAATTCTTAATCAGAGAGCCGAGTTCCAATTCCATTTGGATTCGTTATAATTACTTACTACAAATACCTTTGTGAAAGGTATGAATTCACATCGTCACTCCCCAACTATGATTTAATTAGTAAAACCTGTAAATCATTATTACCTAAATTTTAAAAAATTCTTACAATCTAAAAATAATTTCTGACTTTAAATAATCTGCAAAGTGTTGATAAGCCGTAAAAAAAAACGAATCAATCAACCAATCTCGAGTCACATGTTGCGCAATCTGCTGTAGTCGAAGATATAGGCTATCTTTTGTAAGCATATTTTGCGGGTTTTGTTTGTAAAATATGATAGATGTATCGAGTCTATATTCTTAGATATGAACAACAACACATTGCCATATATTTTGCACGTTCCAAAGTAACAGACATGTGAATGCGTATGTTTTTTGCATGTCTCTAATTTGTTCAAATATGTACATATGAATATATAAATATAAGAGTAAAAAATATTAACTAAATCCGACAGAATGATCAAGAGACAAATAGGGAATCTTTATAAATTTGACATATTTCATTGTTTATTTAACTTCATCGGAGTGGAAATCTGGAGGACAATGGTACGGAGGTCGAACTCCGAACCTTTCCACTGATGAAACTAAATAAATAACCGAACACCAAATTTATGATTTTCTACTTGTTCTTTATAAAAATTAATAAATATATAATAGTTATATATTGATATGCATATGAAGATGGATCAATAAGTGTATAGCCTTAATTTCGATCTGAGATTTTCACCGCATAATGTTAGATCAACGTAGTTAATGTCCACCACTAAATTAGGTCTTTGACAAGCCGAGGGATTATGTAAGGAAATAAAAATTTGTTGTGTAAAATAAATACTCTTTCATCATTAACCTACACTTACTCACGCATAAACAAAAACATGTATATATATATATATATATATATATATATATATATATAAGCAAATATATATATATTCGACAGTATGAAAAAATATATACGGAAAAAACAAACAAAAATCCTGTTTATACAATTATGCTGTTTTAATGTTAATATGTCAACGTGACAAATTGTTCTTATGTACATCATCTTTTGTCATGTTGTATTGATAATGTTATATTTATGAATATGTCCTGAAGATGGTTTATTAGACCGAAACGTCCGACGTTGACATTAACATTAAAACAGCATAATTGTATATAAGGATTTTTGTTTGTTTTTCCGTATATATTTTTCTTCATATATATATATATATATATATATATATATATATGTGTGTGTGTGTGTGTGTGTGTTTGTGTAAATTATTTCCAGATAGGTGTATCTCTGAAGGAAAAAAAAAATGAATAAAAATAGAAAAGAGGAAAAACTATTTTAGTCGACGCGTTTAGTCCTCTGAGGGACGTTATCAAGGGACTTAGCCTTGATAAAATCCTTCAGAGGACGAAACGCGTTGGCTAAGAATAGTTATATATATATATATATATATATATATAATAAAAAGGCTTAAACACTAATATTCCATGGTCATAAATTATTCCATTGGAATCGTAAATACGATCCAATTCATCAGACCTACAAATTCAAAAAGAAAACAGAAAAAACAACTCCGGAAATAAAAAAATATTTGAATTTGTAGGTCTGATGAATTGGATCGTATTTACGATTCCGATGGAATAATTTATGACCATGGAATATTAGTGTTTAAACCTTTTTATTATATCCTTACTCTGTCCTGGACATTGAGTTCTACCTGGATTCTATCCTCTTGGAATTATTTTTTATACAAATATATATGTATGTGTATGTATATATTTATATATTTTGCATATGTATATGTATATTTACCACTAATAATATCTATCTATCTATCTATCTATCTATCTATCTATATATATATATATATATATATATATAGATAGATAGATAGATAGAATCCAGGTAAATTGA